TATGCAATCAAAAGATACAGTGCCGTCCTTGCTAATGCTCTTTTTAACATAAATTAAAAAGCTGATCCTCAGATTTACATGGGATTTCAAGGAGCCCCAAATGGGCAAAACAATGTTGAAAAGGAAGAACAAAGTTGAAGGATACAGACTTTGCAATTTCAAAAATCACTGCGAAGCTACAGTAATCAAAACAGTGTGGTGGTGGTTACATAAAAATGGATAATATATACCATTCTCTCTCTCTCACTCTCTCTCTCTCTCTCTCATACACACACACACACACACACACACACACACACACACACACACACACAGAGAGAGTTTGGATAGAGCCACATGCAAGAATGGACTTAGTTACCTATCTCACACCACATACAAAAATTAATTCAAAGTGGATCAGAAACCTAAATGTAAGTGCAAAGATGATAAAGTTTTTTTCTCCAACAAGATCTCATACTGTAGCTCAGGCTTGTCTGGAACTCATTATATAGCTCAGGCTGGCCCCAGACACATGACAATCCCGCCTCTGCCTCATAAGTGCTGGGATTATAGACATGATCTACCACATTCAGTTTCAATTATAAAACTTTGAATACATAGGAGTAACATTTCCTGACCTTGAGTTGGACTAACAGTTCTTAAATACAACATCAAAAATATAATCCATAATAGGAATAATTGACAGGTCAAGCATGGTGGTATGCACCTATAATCCCAGCACTAGGAAGGCAGAGGCAAGAGGATTAGGAGTTCAAGGTCATCCTCGGCTACACAGCAAGTTCAAGTCCAGTCTGGGCTACATGAGATCCTGTGTCAAACCAACAGCAACAACAAAAGAAATAAATGATAAAGCCTTGGATATTGGCCTTGGTTCCAGAATATATAAAGATCCCTTACAATGTCATAATAAGTACACAATCCAATTTAAAAGGGGGAACTTTTGCAAAAGACTGTAAGGATCTAATATTATTAACATGAAAAGACAGTCAACATCAATATGGAAATGTAAATTAAAAAAATACTGAAATATCATATAAATATATTCACTGTAATAAACACAAACATACACCCACATCCCAAAGAAGATAGGCACCAAGAATTAGCAAGGATATGAGAAAATTGGACCTCTTAGTACTAGTGGAAGTATAAAACAGTCCGACCACTCTGGAATCATTGTGACAGATTCTTAAGGAGCTACATATATATTTACCAAATGACCCAGAAAGTCCATGCCTAGTATCTATCCAAGAAGAATGAAAACATGTCCACATAATGACCCATTCTTGAATATTCATTACTAACACTACTATCAGCGTTATGCAAAGCCAAAAAGTGGGAACAACCTAAATGTCTACCTTTGGGGAATAGACAGATAAAGCATGAGGTATCATTTAATGACAAAAAAGATAAAACTATGAAGAAATATTACATCATGGTTGAATTTCCAAAAGTATCATACTAAGTGAAAGAAAGAAATTCGGCACAAGAGAATACATACTGTATCCTTCCATTCATGGATAAAAGCCATGAAAAGCCAAATCCATAAAATAGAGATTAGCAGTTGCTTGGGGCCGAGGTGGAAACAGAAATCAATCACAAACAAGGAATTTGGGGACTGATGTAAACACTCTAAAACTGGATTGTTGATTGTTGCACAACTCTGTAACATATTAACAGTCAGATAGTGGGCTTAAAAACAGGTGAAATTTTTGACATGCGATTTATACCTAAGTAAAATTTTTTAAAAAAATTTTAAATTCCTGTAATGGTGGTGGGTCATCTGGCCTCTTGATCAAGGAAGCTGAGGAGACCCCACCAGATGGACTTGAGCCAGTGTCCAGTCTATAAAGAGGAGGGGTCAACACGGAGGAATCATTTCCTCCATGCTTCCAAGAGGAGCCAACAATGGTCGAGCAGGACCTTTGACTTATCCTCACATGGATGGAGCTGATAAAAGAAAAGAGCCAGGGGCTCCTCCCAACTCCATGGGACCCCTGAGGAACAAATCCTCTAACGACCTCAAGAGTAAAAACAAATCAGTTTATCTGGTCCAATTGTATGTCCTTAAACACCCAAAAGGGAAGTATAACCAAAGATTAAAGCGGCCAACATAATATCATAAGAGCATACATATACATAACTAAAAGTTACTCGACAAACAACAAAGCCAGACAGGCGATACCTTCAGTCGAGCTGTTGGCTAGGATAGATAAAGGCTCTTACAGACAGTAACCCAACATACTACTGAAAAAATGAACAGCAGACCCCAATTCTATCCAAAGGAATACTGACAATGGATTGCAGTAGATGAGGAACAGCTGACCCTCCTGGAACAGGGACCTCTGGCTGACTAGATTTACCAGAAGGGCAGACAGGGGGGAATGGATGAGGGTGCTGACAACACAGTGGACCGTGACAGGGATGGCAGAGTATGGAGCCTCTAGTGGGAGAGGAAGGCTGTCTATCTGACGAGTTTGTATTCATGCTCAGATGCCGAGGAGCTCAGAAGGTGGGCGACTGTGACCAGTGATAGTCATGTATATAGAGATTAGAAATGCATGTGAAAACGTCTCAATGTCAATTGCTTTGGAATGAATTCTTCTGTATGAAAAAAAATTAAAAAAATAATGATTAAAAAACAACAAAAAAAAAGAAAACAAAATTTGGAACATGAAAATATGAACATTATCTGAAAAAAGGAGATGAGCACAAAAGGTTCCCAAAGAGAGAAAGAGCCCAGATCAGGCTCCCCTCAAACTCTGAGAGATCTGCCTGCCTCTGCCTCCCAAATGCTGGGATTAAAGGCGTGTACCACCACCCTTGGCACAGTCAGTGATCTTAACCAATGAGCCATCTCTCTAGTCCAACACAAATCATTTTAAATATCACTGCATGTCTGCATGTTCAGAGTATGGCATTTAGTCCATACCCCTGACTCATAGCTTTAGAGTTCACTATGACTCGTGTGTGTGTGTGTGTGTGTGTGTGTGTGTGTGTACGCATGTAGTCTTTAAAAAATAATCACAAATAAACAATTCCATCAGTTTCCCTCTTGAAACCTCCAAGATCGTGTGATTGTAGTGTTGGAACAGTCTACAGATAGTGGACAACTGAGCAAACCCTCCTTAAACGTCAACAAATTTACTTTAACATTCTCTCTTTTAATGTTTAATCACCATTAGCTGCAAGCTGTCAATTCTGCTGATGTAAATCATTCTTGTTTGTCCTTCTTCCATCCCATCTGGAGTGGAAAAATTATCTCCTACTTCCAGAAAGAGGATAATACTGAAGTATGACCATGAACGTAGGCACTTCCAGGTGAGTTTCCCTGGAGCCTTTCCTAGTCGGATCTATTTTGTATTGTTCATGTTACCTCCAGCCCTTTACTTAATTCTTCTGAATGCCCTAATACACCTTCTCAAGCATGCTAATACCAGGCACTGAATTTTAATAAAACGCCAAGTGTAGCAAAGACAGTCACTGCCAAATCCTCTAGAGTATTTTCATTTCCAACAAATACACAAATCACATTGGGAGAATGGTGCCAGGTTATACTTAGAAGTACTACAAATGATATACAAAAAGAATTCCTGGGTATTTAGGAAGATAAGCCAGAAGGGCATACATAGTCCCCTTTCTTTTCTAAGGAGTTGCAAAGTACCCACGTCTTAGTCCATAAACCAACTTGTAAATACATATTGCAATGGTAATCATATGAGCTATACCATTTTGTTTCTAAAATGTCATCCTTGGGTGGGGAAGAGGGTCCACCTTATGTAGAGAGATCTGTAGGGGTCCTGAGGAGGCCTGAGTCCCTCAGCTGCAGAGTGGGACCTTCTGAAGAGGTGAAGCTATGTGAAGCTCCTACTCTCCAGAAGAAGGTACCCTGCTGATAGCCTCACCCCCCGCCCAAGGACCCTTTCCACCCTGTCCCTGGAGTAATGCAAAATAGAATAGGAAAAGTACCAAGAAATCCTTCCCTTCTAGAAGAGCTAGTGGGAAAGCAGCTGAGATCCAAGAGTGGTGATCAGGAACTATCCCTGAGTTTAGGTTACAGTTTTTCAAACCACAATGTCATATGTCAGAGAGTGGGATGGACAGGAAGCAGCTTAGGCTACATTCAAAAGTGCACAGGAATTTTGGCACAATTTCTGAGGATGTGATCTGGTTAAATGTTTTTAGGGTGGCAGTTTCATTCTACTATTCAAAGCAACATGACAAAAAAAAACTATGCAAGCACAAAACTTTTTTGTTGTGAACCAGGAGGCTTCAGCACTTAAGGAAACAAGAAGGAACAGAAGGAAGTGGAATTCCATCTCATTTCTTTTCAACCTCTGTCAGAGAACTTCAGGCATGATCTCCCCCCCCATATGAACTAGGGTACAAGTTCATAATCTTCCACCACCAGAGAAACTTTGATGTACAAGTATGGGAAGTTTTGGCTCCCTCAGAAGACTTTTGATGACCCTGAGGAACATAGACCTAACTCAGAAACAAACACTTAGACATTTCCAAGCTCTAAACCCTAGCGCGCAATAAAGAACATACACTTGCCAGACCTGGCCTGGCCTGACCTTCTGCCCATCTCTCTGAATGGCTGATGGAACATGAACCAACAATTGAGTTGAAAGACAGGTAATTTCTGTTTTCTTAGAATCACAGTAGGAATGATTAAAAATCACCTTGCAGGCTGGTGAGACATTACAGCCAGTAAAGGTGCTTGCCATCAAGTCTGATGACCTGGGTTCAGTTCTGGGTACCAACATGGTAGAGATCAGTGACTCCCACATGTTGTCCTCTGATGTTCATATATGTGCATATGCCAGAGTACATGCATTCATACACACACACGCGTGCGCACACACACACACACACGCACGCACGTACACACACTAGTGATAAATAACTAAAAATGTAAATCACCTTGCTACTGTGTGATCAGGCAAGCATTTTACTAATTTACATAAACATGGATAAAAATCTTAAAATGTAATACTTACTGTATTTTTTTGAGTTACCATATCCTGAAAAGAAAAAGGAAATATGAATATAATTTTTGAACAGGTAATCATCATTAAGCATTAGCTAGCAGTCTCCCCACCTTAAAGGGTTAATCATTTGGGTTTTTTGCCCCCTTGAAAGTGTCAAATAGGATAAAACTCTAAGAATTGTAAAATTTATGTTCCAAAGAAAACTGATTGTAATTGGTTTGCTCTGTAACTAGCTCTGAGACCATCTCCCAAACCTAAAAATAGTAATAAGTTTTATATTCCCACAACGGTGAAAAAACAAAAAAACTACCTAGGTCATAGAATTTTATGGAAGCCTTTGCTAAGACACTGTCAAGGGAAACATGTATACAGTTGGGAATATTACATTCTAACATCATGTTTCTCAATTATATATATATATATATATATGTCCTATACTTTCATATTTCCTAACTTCTAAAGATTTCTAAGCACAACTTTAGTGAAAAATCAGTAAAAGCCAAAATATAAATATCCAAAGTAATTTATATTGGTTAAAGTCTTTAGGAAACTATTCTACAATGTAACATACTAACAAAAGTTTCTTTCCTCAGTCATATGAATGACTTCTACAAAGTACAGTCCTGAGTTATAATTACATAATACACATTTAGGTAGTGTTTGTAAATTTTACTATATACAGGTTGTGCATCTGAAACAGTATTTCTACAAGAAACTAATCTCTATCACTAAAGAACCCAGGAGAATCTGATTAATGTTAAATCTTAAGAAATACAAGCATTCAATTTTGGCATGAAATGATATTGCTATATACTTGTGCTTCTTAATACTGAGGGAGCTGGACACTTAGAAATGATGTCTGTGAAGTCCAGTTCTCTAAACTACAGGGTCCTATCCCTGGTTGTACATTTGGGAACTTAAAGAAAATTGTTTGGGCTCCACCCTCAGAGACTATGATGTAACTGATCTGGGTGTGGCCTGGGTCTTGGGACATTTACCAGCTCTGGAGGATTTTAAAAGGAAGTCAAGGTTGAGAAGTGCTGCTGTAAACAAACTAACATATTATTACTAAAATAGTAATATAGTAACTAAAATAGTAATACAGTAACACAGATGAGGAGTTCCCAGCCAGTACTAAGGAATTCAACAATATTAATAGAAGATGAATTTGGATTAGAAAATTACATTTTGCAAATATAAACATTTTTGAAATTACTATGTAATCCGAGAAAGTTTTCCTCAAGCTTGCAATACCCTTTCTGAAATTCTCAATAATTATTATTTGTTCAGGAACAAACAGGTCTGCAGTTTTGCTTTGCTTTCAGATTGGAGGAAAGTAAATGAAATACTGATTATGTCTCTGTTAAATTTTTTTGCTCAGTTTGGTAACTGTTAAATGTCCTCATTATCATTATTCAAGAAAGCTAAAGCCTAATTTTTATAACATGTAGGTCTGGTTCAAAGTGTCCTATGAGGGGATTCAGAGTGATGTGTTTGCGTCAATGGAAACTAACAGTTTTTGCTTCCACTTCCTTAAGCCTGAAGTGCTGATTGCCTGCAAAAGTTGAATATGGCAAGGATGCTCACACAGCAGCAGGGAAGTCATCTGTGGGAGCTAGAAGTGTGATGGGAAGGAAGAAAACCCCACAAGCAATTCTTTCTCACTTTTTCCAACTTCCAGTGCTATTAGTTTTATTTCAGCAGGACATATCATTGTGCATTTCTAAAATGATGTATTCAAGGGAAGGTAATCAACGCCCCTTACCTTCAATGACAGAGCAGTGTCAGCATCGGTGTCATGGTACAGAATCACGTTATTGGCCATGTCAAAGCTCTCTCTCACTCCAAGATGGTAGAAAAGGGAAGGCTGTCTGGAGATGTCACTCATGTCCACTATGGCAACATCTGGGATGAACAATAAGACAACAGAGAAGGAGGAGAGGAGAGGTGATGTGGTAACTTAATTTTCTACTTGCTACTGATCGCCAATGAGGAATTATGGCAATTTGTACTTCTACAATCAGCTTTTTATGTAAAGTAAACATGGGGAATTATTTGAGTAAGATTATCTCCCATGAACTGTGGATGAAAAACACTAAGTATCTAAAAAACAACTACAAAGATGTTTTCCTTGAAGGTCTGAGAATATAGTCTCATTTAGAACCTGCTGATAGGCTGATTTTCAATGTTATTTTTCTTATGAAATATATTCAAAGAATACATCTAGCCTATTTACGAAATGAAAACCCACTGTCAGGTGGGTAGAGGGCACCTCAACTGAAGAATTTCCCAAATCAAATTGGTCTGTGGACATATCTGTGAGGCATTTTCTTAATTGCTCATTGATGTAGGAGGGTCCAGCCCACTGTGGGTGATACTATCCCTAGGCAGGTGGGCCTGGGATGGTTAAGAAAGGTAACTGAATACAAGAGATCAAGCCAGTAAACAGCATTCCTTTATGATCTCTGCTTCAGTTCCTGCCTGCAAGTTCCTGCCCTGACTTCCCACAATGGACTATAAGACAAACCCTTTTCTCCCCAAGTTGCTTTTGGTCAGAGTGTTTTATCACAGAAAGAGAGCAAAGAAACTAATACATATTCACTATGTAAGCCCAAGTCACAGAGCCTTACCTGAACTGTCAGATTCCCACGTGTCCCTTCCTTGTGCCAGAGAAAACTACCCCCATCTACATATTATCTCCCCGCATATACATGCATGCTATAAATTCAATGTCTGTATCCCATAAAATTCATGTGTTAAAATCTAACCCCAAATATGACAGTATTTAGAGATGGTACCTTTGTCAGGCAGTAAGGTCATGGCATTAGTGTCTCTTTTGAGGCCCCAGAGTTGATTTGTCCCTTCCACTATGTGAGGACATGAGGAGAGGGCCTCACCTATGATTTAGGAAGCAAGCCTTCATCAGACACTGAATCTGCTGGTGCCCAGCCTCCAGAACAGTGAGACATAAATTTCTGTTATTTTAGGCCACCCAGGCTATGGTATTTTGTCCCAGCAGCCTCAACAGACTAAGATCCTATGCATAGACATGTATACATTCCTAAGCAGCATATTGTCTTGTTTTGCATGTCTTTGAACTTTATATAAACACTATCATATTTTACACATTCTTTGACTTGCTTGTTTTTTATGTGATTCAACCTATTTGTTCCATTCTGGTTCTTCCATTTTCACTTCTGCTAAACTTCCATTGTACGATGACAAGATCACAGTTTCTTCATCCATTCTATTTGTGGAGATTTTATTCATTTTTTTCTCTTTCCTATTTCAAGGTGTTACAATTAATATTCCTACATCATAGCTACTGGTTCACCTTGGCAATTAAAAAATATTCCTGAAGGTATGGCCTGGGGTGGAGATCTAGTCAAAACAGAAGAGCAACTGACTACATCAATAGCAAGCATGATGAAATTTGCCTAGTATTGGTTGCCATTTCAAAACTTACAAGGGGATGTAAAAGCTCCAAGTTTGATGAGAGCTTCATCACATGCAGTAGACATACACGAATGTGTGTTCAAACCTACACTTGCAGTGCTGTGAGTTACAAGAAGACCATGAAAACACAGATGACACACAACACAAAGAGAGTTGGCATGAAGTGTGTGGGCGAAGGAAACAAGGTGCCAAGTAGAAGCCATGTCAGCTCCAGGTACCACTGTCTCTGTACTGAGATGCTGAGAGATCCAGTCTAAGTGTCACTCAACCCTGGGTGGGCTTCTTATTCTCTTATAAATACATTACCACTTGCATTATTTTAGATACCAAGAATAGACGTGTGAATGGGGCATAAATATTTTCTTCAAAAAACTATTATAGTACTGGGGCTGAGGAGATAGCTCAGCCAGTAAAATGCTTGCTATGAAAGTATGGAGACCTGAGTTTGATCGCCAGCACACACATATAAATCTGCTCATGGTGGTGCATACTTGTAATCCCAGCACTTGAAGGTAGAGACGGGGGATCCCTGGGGCTCACTGGCCAGTTAGCCTAGTCAAATCAGCAAACCTAAGGTCCTAGTGAAGACTTTATCTCAAAAAAAAGGTGAACAACTCCTGGGGAATAACCCCCGAGGTTGATCTCTGTCCTCCACATGCATACAACACACATGCTTGCACACCAACACATATGTGCAGCCACAAGCACATACATACAAAGATAGATAGATGATAGATTGATAGATAGATAGATAGATAGATATAGATAGATAGATAGATAGATAGATAGATAGATAGATAGATAGGCAGCAGACAGACAGACAGACAGACAGACAGACAGACAGACAGACAGATAGATAGATAGATAGATAGATAGATAGATAGATCAGTACTATGCAGGTAGCCAAAAGGAAGAAGGTATAAGGTTGCTGTGACAAAAGTTAAATTGAGAGAAGCCTAGTGATATATGTACCCTTAGGAAAGTCTCCAATCATATTTGAGCAGGGGGCAGTCAATGAAGGCCTGGAGGAAATAATGTTATTTGTTACCATGAGTATCCATAGTGGGTATGGTGATGCACACCTTTAATCCCTGCACTCTGGAGGCAGAGTCAGACAGATCTCTGTGAAATCGAAGCTAGCTTGGTCTACATAGAGAGTTCCAGGCCAGCTGTGGCTACAGGAAGACCCTATCTCAAAAGGGAGGGAGGGAGGGAGGGAGGGAGGGAGAAAAAAAAAAGAAATTAATGTTAATAGTAAAATTGTTTCAAACTTGAAATTTTTACCTGACATTCATCACTTGGGTGAGTAGACTGAGTGAATGTTGAGGATTTGTACCTAAATAAGATTAAGCTGGTTTGTTTTTAGAGCAACTAGGCCAGTAATTTACAATAGATTTCTAAATGATAATTTTAAGATACCAGGTTGGAAATTTTTTTAATTATAGAGAATGGAGGTTTATTTTCCTAAAGAGGCTGCCAAACCAGGTATGCTGCCTTATGCTTGCAATATCCACACTCATGAGGCAGGGGGATTGCTGTGAATTCCAGATCAGCCTGGCTACAGTGTGAAACCCCATTAAAGAAAAAGAAAAAGATAAGAAAGGAAGAGCCAAAAGAGACATCAATCCTGTCAGATCCTTACTCATCACACTGTTCACAAGCTGTGCCACATGGAAAAAAATCCCTCTGAACATCTCAGCTGAATTTCAGAAGCCCCTAGGAGACAGGCAGGGAATGGTCAGCTTCACTTTACAAGTGAGGAAAGGAAACCCAAGTGGTTAACTTCCTCCCTCAAGGTCACTCAGCTGGACTAGAACTCAGGACTCAAGCTCACCTTTTCTGGCACCAAGTCTTGGGCTGGCCAGTACCTAGATGATGTTCACTATTTTCCTGACTTTCTGAAACTGAGGCTACCTGGGAGCAAATCCATTTATATATAAAGTTAAATCTTAGGTAAACAGATCACAGATTAAAAAGGAAGAGATAAAATTCAGGTTTTCATTCTCAAATGCACTCTGTTTTAGCTATCATTACCTTCTAGCTCCTACCAATTATTTCCTAGTGATGAAGGCCAGTCTTGTGTATGTGTGTGGGGGGGGTGTATTGCATAACCATCTTCTTTGGTCATGAGGCAGGTGTGCACCTGCACCCATACCTAGCATGGTTTAGCACACTTTAGGAAGTGATAACCCATCAGAGAATGCAAAAAGCCAAGACTAGTTGAAATCTACACTTAGCAGCAAAGTATCTGAATTCAACATTGAAGCACCCCTCAGTTTATCAGTTATGGTGATCTTAAAACATGTTACTATGAAATAAGATGAAACATGTAAGATTTTAATTTATTAAAAACTCTTGAAGACTAAAATGACCTTTTAACAAGACCTGCATAAGATCAAGCCAGTCAAAATCCCAGCCATGGACAGGGGAGGGGGTCATGAAGTCCCACTTGCAGCTAAGAAGCTATTGGCAATTGATGGCTGCTGGGAGGGGGGATTAGATTTTCTTCATCAACATAGCCCCTGAGATGCTACCCACACTCTTGAAGACAGTGCTATGTTCATGCACACACTAGCAGCACTAAATGGATTTGGTGGGTTTAGGAAAGAAAGCACATGATGTTTGAGAGGGAAAAGTGGGGGGTATAGGGAAAGTCCTAGAGGAGAAGTAATGGGGGTGGACTTTATCAAAACATTATATGCGTGTATAAAATTCTCAATTATAAAAGCTCTTTGGAACACAGTTTTGACATATTTTATTTTTTAAAAGACATGGTCTAATATATCCCAGGCTAGTCTTGTACTTGCTGTGAGGTAGAGGATGACCTTGAACCCCTGACCGTCCTGCCTCCAACCCCATAAGTGCTGAGATTTCACAAGCATCCATCACCATGCCTGACCTTTAGAGATTTTTTCTAAATGTTTTATAGGTAACAAATAAAACTATAATTTTTAGTGTGGCTTAAAAGTATTGGATTAATGCATCATAGCATTAGTTAATGGTATGATGGCCAATGATTTACCACGCAGCAATTCTGAGCTCACACTGGTTCATGCCAGTCTTTAAATACATTCCAGGTTGTCTGTAAGCCTATCTTCCTCCCAGCAAAAAAATTAAAATAAAAAGAATGAATGAATGAAAATAAGAATTTTTTTGTCTAAACAAAGAAGTAGAGTTCAGATTAAGTATCCAGCCACAGACATTTAAAAATCTAATTGGACTTATACGAAGCTGGTCCCCTTAAAACTGACTTAAAATTGCAATAGATGGAGGCTATTACAGAGTTCCACAACTAATCGCACACAGAGACTATATGTCTGAGAGACGCCCAGCCCTACATGGCACATCTACAGTGGATCCTCTCCACCTAAGGGTCATGGAACATAGCAGAGCAGGGGGGTAGAGAGAATACTAATATATCCTTCAACTCTCACCAGTGAAGCTTCCTC